AGAGGAAGAGGATACAGAAGGGCAGCATAAATCCAAGAGTTAGACACCATATAGGGAAGCAAAAACGAACATTAGATAAGACATTAGATTCTGACCACCAGCCAAGCAAAAGTCAACATTAGACAAATGAAAATTAGATTCCGACCACCAGTGAAACAAAAGTCAATAGCTTAAACTAGAGCATTTGGAATGAGCACCTGAACAAAAGACATATTTATATTTAGCTGGAATTTTAGGTTACGTTTAAATTTGTACAAAAGTTGCTACTATGTTTCACCTCAAGTAAACATTTCTAAGTTGTTAATTAGACATGGAAAACTTTTGTTTAGTAACTGTTTGTGTTTTGTAAAACTGGTTTTGTGTGTTAACACTCTTATGTTTGCTTAGTTAAAAGACAGTTAATAACCAGAAGAATTTTTCTTAGGGTCATAAATAGTAGCAATTATCATATATGTATTTATGCATTATCAATGTTAAATTAGAAAATGTGTGAATGTAATACAGACTTAAATGAATTTAAAATAGCTTGAAAAATTAATGTGTGTAAATAATGTATGTTGAGAATGTCAATGTTACTATAAATGGAAATGTGTTGTTGCTACTGTAGAAAAAACATTGTGTATTATATAGTAGTACTATAGTAGGCTCTCTAGTAACATTATATTTAATTCTGTGTGGAACATCAGTGGAGATTCTGAAATAATCATTGTGTGGTATGTCTGGTAAACTAACCGTGTAAAGAGTTGAAACAGGTGATAGAAACTGTTTTGATACAACATAAACATACGCGCACGCAATACAAAGCTGGAAAATTGGGGGGGGGGAGTAATGGTACTGAAGTAAATGAATGTGAAAGGTTTAAAGTCGTGTTTACATATTACTGATATGATTAAAAGTACCATGTTTTAAACCAGTTTTTCCACCCAAGAGTCTGGAAGAAATACAGAGCCAAAGATCCAATTCCTGATGCAGAAAATACCTGTATCCTTAACTTTGTTTTATTATTAAAGAATTAACAGAAATTAGCTGAATTTTTGAGAAAAAACACTGGCTCAAATTTAGTTTCAGAATACAAAACTCTCTACCAAGGTCATTAAAACCTTTGCTTTTGAATAATTTTAAAATATGGCAAGGGCAACTGTAAGACTGTTGTAACTGTAAGACTACACTGTAAGGCTGCATTAATTACCTAACTAACTTATTTGAGCTTTTATTGGCTCTAACAAGGATTTAAATGAGATACAGGTATATAAGAACAGAGTTTAGAGAGTTAGAACACTGGTATTATGCTAAGACAGAACACTGGTATTAATGCTATTCCCTTCCCTAGTTCTGAGAATAGCATTATTACGCACTAGCCTTTCTCCAGCCAAGTTACTAGTCGAACCTGTTAGAATTGAGCCAATGTTTGTTAAATCTCTTACCTAGACAATCTCCAGAAATAAATTACTTTGAACTCTAATTCTTCATTTTAGTTAGTTGAATCACCCAAGCTTTAGAGATAGCAAGTGCAGAGATGAAAATATCTGTAAGCACGAGTCATGCATCTGGTTAAGTTCAAAGTTTTAAATGAAAAGACCCGTGTCTGAATTGTTTCCATACACATACATACATAATATATATATAAGATTTAAAGGAAAAGGACAGTTAAAAATAGCTAAAGCTTTAAAATTTAATTTGATGCAGCTAATTCCAAAGTTTGCAAGCAACACCATGTAAAAACAATTACACGAAATGAAAGCAGTTAAATTTTATGCAAAAAAAAATTACGTAAGAACTTAAAAAACAAAATTCAAATTGGCACTTAGAAAATACTAAACAAATTTTGTTAAAAAACTATACTACAAAATCAAATTTGGTACGCTTAAAAAAACATTGCCTCACAGTCTCAGTAGAGGCCAAGTAGTTAAACAATTGAGTAGAACCCTATAATTTTAGATTTCTTGTGGTTGATTTTACTTTTGGAGACATGCAGCTTCTTTGGTTTTTAAGCTTCAACCTTCATATAAAATGTTATCTTTCTTTGTGTTGTTTTTGACTCTTCAGTTTTATAAGTGTACAAACATGGCAATTTCAATAACAAATTTGAAAACTACTTCAGCTGTATGTGTTTCGATAACCACAAAAAATTTTCAGAGCATACATTTTCAGAACGTTTATTTAAAAATGAAATAGAATTTCATTCGTACATAAACGCATGTCAGTTAGTTTATGTAAATTTTGATTTAAAATTTGTGGCATCCTTGACAGGAGCGACTCCGAATCTGAGATAAACATTGATAAAATAGACTACAATATCTTCAGTGACTATTTATGCTTGACGCATATAATGTACATTTGATATCCAGGAAATGAAGCAAAAAAACAAGACTTGAAAATTTGCAACATCGAAAATTAACAACTAAAGAATAAATGATCTAAATTCTTCTCATTTACAATAGAAGAAATTATTGACAATAGCAATTTATAAGGATTTAAAAAACCATACCAGTTTATGAGTCCAGACTGCTAAAATTAATAATGATAATTCCATATCTAATGAGGATAAATCTGAACATGAAACCTGGAGCATTATAACATAAACTGAATGTTTCCCACAATCATGAGAAAATTACAAGAAAGATATAAAACGAAACTGAGATATACGAAACAGAATTATGTTCATGAGCTGTTACTCTTTTTCTGTGACAGGGAGGAGGGAGCTATTTCTATATCAGAATTTTTATGGCAAGAATCAAAATTGCATGCATTACCTAATAAAAGTGTATTGTGATACTTTTGAATAAATACCTCAATCAAAAATGCTCACGATAGTCTGTGAGAGTTATTTGGGGCCTGGTTGTGAATATGGCCTTCAAACTATTTACTAACTGCACTAATATCAAATTTCCTGTTCAAGCAGACAATGTGTAATTCATCAAAGGCAACATTTGCAATGTGATAGAAGACTGCACCAATGATAGTCTACTAGTTTAGTTAGTGGGTTATGGAACAAAATTCTCAGTCTTGGCCAACAAAACTGAGGCCATACTTATTCAACACAATGAAAGATGACAACCTCTGCTTGACATTCCATGATATTACCCCCCAAAAAAAAGCATCTTAGAATCACCAAAGCAGACTCACTATCTTGGATCTGACATATCAAAGAAGTGAAGACAAGACTCGTCATTCTTGCAAATTCTATGTTCAGGCTTTCCTTATCAACGTGAGGCATCTCTCCCAATGCCAAACTAGCATCGTATAGTACTGAAAGAATACTTCTCTACGCCTCCCTCCAAATGGGGCTTGCATGCAATGATCTAGATAAGGAATCTCTTACTGCCCATCTAACATCCAATTCTAATCCAGAACTTCAGAGGTTACAGAACATCTTCAGCAGCAGCTCTTCCAAATTCTCCTCTGTGTTTTACCATTAGTCATCCACATGTAGTCACTACAGGAGTGACAAGACTGGATTGCACTTATGACTCTAAGATAAGACCTATAAATCTTCACGAAACCATTGATACCACCTGACATCAAAGACTTCAGATGACACAAAACTAACAGTGGCACTGGCAGCAGTAAATGTATACTGAAGAGAAGAGAGTAGTTATTCACTTAGAAAAACCATACCAGTTTATGGGTCCAGACTGCTAAAATTAATAACGATAACTCCATATCCAATGAGGATAAATATGAACATGAAACCTGGCTTAATATGAAACCTGGAGTATTATAACATAAACTGAATGTTTCCCACAATCATGAGAAAATTACAAGAAAGATATAAAACAAAAGAGATATACGAAACAGAATTATGTTCATGAGCTGTTACTCTTTTTCTGTGAAAGGGAGGGGGGGCTATTTCTATATCAGATTTTTATGGCAAGAATCAAAATTGCATGCATTACCAAATAAAAGTGTATTGTGATACTTTTGAATAAATACCTCAATCAAAAATGCTCACGATAGTCTGTGAGAGTTATTTGGGACTTGGTTGTGAACATGGCCTTCAAACTATTTACCAGCTGCACTAATATCAAATTTCCTGCTCAAGCAGACAATGCGTTATTCATCAAAGGCTACATTTGCAATGTGATAGAAGACTGCACTAATGATAGTCTACTAGTTTAGTTAGTGGGTTATGGAACAAAAATTCTCAGTCTTGGCCAGCAAAACTCAGACCATACTTATCCAACACAATGAAAGATAACAACCTCTGCTTGACATGCTACGATATTACCCCCAAAAAAAAGCATCTTGGAATCACCAAAGCAGACTCACTATCTTGGATCTGACATATCAAAGAAGTGAAGCCAAGACTCGTCATTCTTGCAAATTCTATGTTCAGGTTTTCCTTATCAACATGAGGCATCTCTGCCAATGCCAAACTAGCATGGTATAGTACTGAAAGAATACTTCTCTACGCCTCCCTCCAAATGTGGCTTGCATGCAGTGATCTAGATAAGGAATCTCTTACTGTCCATCTAACATCCAATTCTAATCCAGAACTTCAGAAGTTACAGAAAAACTTCAGCAGCAGCTCTTCCAAATTCTCCTCTGTATTTTACCATTAGTCATCTAAATGTAGTCACTATAGGAGTGAAAAGACTGGATTGCACTATGACTCTGAGATAAGACCTATAAATCTTCACAGAACCATTGATACCACCTGAAATCAAAGACTTTCAGATAACCACAAAACTAACAGCTGCACTGGCGGCAGTAAATGCATACTTGAGGGAATAGAGTAGTTATTCACTAAGATGGTGCATGAGTTATACAGAACTTTCAGCTCTCATCCCAATCATGAAAGAATGGAAATTCTGCTTCCGACTTCCCATATAAAAAGAATTACAGCTTACTGCTTGCAACAGAAGTGGCAAGAACACCAAGATTCTGACCCAATAGGCAGAACACACTCTTTTTTACAGTAGGTTAGTCTCCCGCTTATAAGCAAATATTCTAACCTTACGTAATTTTACTATATACTATATGATTGCACAAAAACTCACTTCCCGGTTGGTCCACCTTGTTTCACCATATCTTGGAGTAACTAGAGCTACAAATGCAGTACAGTTATACAGTGCATTATTGATCACATCTTGCCAATCCTGACCAGCAGGTATATCATCAACATCCTGAAAAGAATACACGTATCACAAACTTTCGGTTATAAAACAGTAGCAAAATAAACACTAAAATGTTTGATTCTGGGCATTACACTGATATTATGCATTTATTGCTCATATATGTATATAACATTATGACACATATAACCACAATGTCCATAAAAGTCTTTACAAGGCCTTTAATTTATCAACTATTGGTCACAGACATATACATCTGGTTATAAAGATGTTTTGAATAAGGCAAATATTTATGTTTTGGCTTTTTTTTTTTTTTTTCAAACTGAAAAAACAAGAGAAATTATTAAATCTAACTTTTTATATGAACCAACAATCCTCATATTTAGTAAAAGTTTATACTTATCCTAGAAAACAAAACATTTGACTTTCATATGACAAAAGTTGAGAGACATTAATTAATGTCTGAAATCACGTCATCTGAAAATTGTGAAGTCATATGCAAATTGGAGACTGAAACTTTTACATTTATACATAACTAAAAATGAAATATCAGCTAAACAAAAGGTTTCTGACATTAACAGATTAAGTGAAGAACATCGATATGCAAACTGCCATGAAAATTTTGTTCAATGCACATTTTTTCAAGCATTGACAGATACGCAGCTTACAACAATACATGTATAAATTAAAAATGAAAAATATGTGTAACCCAATGAATTTTTTCTATGAATATTAGATTACGCTCTTAATGTAATAAAACTGCATGTGAATATTAACATATTTTCAGTACTTGAAAACTTATAAGTTACTTGCATGAAAGTTCTTATGGCTTAATACTACACAGCAAAAAGAATCAACACTGAACGATTCTAACTTATTTTTTAAAAGAACCCTCATGGATTGCTTTTTGGTTATCATCAGTTTTATGGGTACATACTTTGGGGACAGGTAGGGCACATCAAAAGGACTAAGAATTACCAAATAACCAATGACTGCAAACTGGCCACCTCAACCACAGGGCTAAATGCCATGGGGTACAACATTTTAAAGCAAGGGCTACTGCATTCAGGGACACCAGCCTTTTAAAGTTGCAATTTTTTATGATGGACAAGAAAGTATATTTTATGCTATCCTCAGGTTATATAGTAAACTATCCATTTTTTTTTTTTTTTTTTTTAATCAGTGGAGAAATACTTCCTTCAGAAATCCTTTACACCAGTACTGTATACTCAACAGCTGTGCAACCTGGCATAAGCCCCGTTCACAAGAGCAGATTCGATTGTGGCGAAAACCAGTTCTTCCAACGTGTACCATTCACACGACGAACAAGCATTAACTGCTTCTCGGAACAGTAGGTAGAATTTGGTAGAATGCTCCTACCTCTCTGAAACTAGGCAAATGGGAAGATTCCCCATAGTGCACTGCGTGATTGCGCTGTTCACTTAATTTTAGTAAACAACATGGCTGACGTGCAACTGACTGCTCAATGGACTGTCAGCAAAATAATAGCGCTAATAGATATTTGGGGATGTGATAACATTCCCCAAAATATTAGAGGCAACTGTACAAGATAGAGAAATTTATAAGGAAGTAGAGACAAGGTTATCTGATGTTGGATATTCTGGAAATAACATTCAAATTAAAACTAAATTTAAGATGCTCAGACTCGCATATCGGCTTGAACGTAACAAAGGGACGCGATACTTTTTGAATGATTTTTATTTAAGAGCTTTCATCTACTTTTTATGAATATTATTAAATGCTTTTGTAATACAAAATTATTTAAGGTGAAAAGAAATTGCCAGCAATTTTTTTTTTTTTTTTTTTTTTTTTTTTTTTTTTTTTTTTTTTTACATTTACATTTTTTGAAGAAACATTTAGCAATTAAAATGACTTTCTTCTACAATTTTCTATGTTTAACAACCAAATTTTTTGATTGTATTTACTAGTATTCTTAATAATTTCAAGGATCGATTTCGCAATTAATGAATTAGTTTCTGAGGAAAAAAATAAAAACACACGTTTATGTAAATCTTTGAAAAAACATCTGAGTCACATTCTCATTTCAAATAATTTTTCAGCGTTTTGCTAAACCCATCCTAGTTTCTATAAAGTATATAATTTTAAATAGGCAGTAAAAATATTAAAAAAAATTAGTTCATATCTGCATAAGTTTTAGAACTTTAAGTAAAAGGATTTATCCAAAAATGCAAACTGAGAAAACGCAGTTTGAAGAATGTAAATGGTGTAAATGGCCATTAAATTATTTGAAATTCCTTAAAAATTTTATTACTGAATTTCAATACATATATATAATAAAACCTAGTACTATTTAGTTGATAAATATAAAATACAAGCTTTTATTTAAAATCTTATTTGGCCAGAAAGATTGAAAAAAAAATCATTAAATGCAAGAATTTTTCTTTACGTTAATACATGAACTAATTATAATATTGTTGCGTGAGTATGGATTTATAATAAATTGAATGCACACAAGTCTGATGACAGCTTAATAAAATTTATTTTATCAACAGAAACACTTCAAAGTTCTGGAATCTTCCCCAGAAATACTCGTACAAGTGTTTCGAGTATCAGAAAGCACAATCAGTACTTATGCTTCAAATTACTAAGGACATTAAACACAACGCAATGCAAAGCACATCTAAAGAGAAAGCTAGCTCAGAAATATCTCTTCTCGCACTGAAGTAACTACTCGCAACAATAACAACTTGTATAGTATAATGTGATGAAAAATAATGTGATGTAATGATATTATTACTTTGAAACTGATGTTTCGGAGTGATATTCATGAAGAACCAATACTCCCATTCTGCTTCATTGCATATCTTCTAAAAAAGTAAAAAATCATTCAATTAATGTCCATTATCATTCTTTCTTCAAAAAACGCAAAAAGATTGTGTTATACCCTGGGAAAATTTCAAAAGTTTATAACCGATATATTTTTCGATATGAAATTTTTAAATAAATGAGCAGCAAGAAGTTTAAAATTTTGAGTGCTTTTCAAAAATTCTCATAAAATAATAAAAAAATTACGTAAACCCCCCTCCACTGTGTCTTATGGTGCAAACAATAATATTCCAAGATTCTCAGTTTATTTGTTTACTAAAATATTTGCAAAAAAATTGTTTCAACTTTCAATTTGAAAAAATTTAATCATCTAAAACTGAAAATCATGACATCACATCCACAAGCAATGTACATACAAAGTTTGAATTCGATATCTTATCAGGAAGCAATTTAAAAATTGATGACCATATTTTAGCCATAGCAACAAGCACCAAGAGTGAGCTTTTAATTAAGCTTATGAAATAATAATAGAGCATAACTTTTTAGAGAACCATTATGAAAGTTTCATTACCAGTAGCAAAAGTACCGATTATGAAAGTAACAGTAAACATCGATAAAAAAGTGTAAACAGTATTAGAAATCAGCACTATAAAATAAATTTGTTTGTGAGTGATTGTTCACAATGGCTTGCTTATGTGTAAAGGCAAGGAAGAAGGTAGTCTTCTGAACGGGTCCTAAAGTCGAAACTCCTTTATCTCCTCTTGCTAACAGCAGCTGTGCAAAGAAGCATTATATGTGAGCGGGACAATAATCTGTTTAAAGCAATAATTCATCAATTATGAACTAAGCTTTATATAAATAATTAATATGACTTCTGTAAATATTAGAAATGGTTTATCTACCAACCTCCAAGATGGATCTAGCTTTGAGCATCCGGGAGAAACAAATTTTAGCACCTTTTTATACATTACATAAATTAAGAAAAAAGGCATAAAAAAATTGCCAAAAACGCCTTTCACCCCTTTTTTATTGCTTTGTAGAGGTGGCAACCCTAGGAAAAGTACTGATTTATAATTTTCATTGTTGCAATTAAAATTACAGAAAAGAAAAACCATAATTAGAGTAATATGTATTTAACTACATATAATATACAAAATTATTTACTTTTGATATGTACTTTTCTATTTACACAGTACCAATTAGTGTTATAATTTATATATCTAATTGTGTGATTACTATTTAACTTTTATTTGCTGCATTCAAAATACACTCTTAGACAAAAAAAAAAAAAAAAAAAAAAAAACATGCACCAGAGGGAGTTATCCGAATGGGATGAAAATTGGTAGAAGTGATGTACATATACAGAAAAACGAATGATTACAGCGTGGGAAAACTTGGATGATTTATTGAAGTGATAGAGCTTCACAAAGTAAAAAAGTCAGTAATGTGTTTGTCCACCTCTGGCCCTTATGAGAGCAGTTATTCAGCTTGGCATCGATTGATAGAGGTTGTGGATGTCCTCCTGAGGGATATCGTGCCAAATCCTGTCCAACTGGCGAGCTAGATCATTAACATCCCAAGCTAGTTGGAGGGCCCTGCCCATAATGCTCCAAACATGCTCAATAGGAGAGAGATCAGGCAAACTAGGTAATGTTTGGCAAGCAATAGAAGAATGTGCAGTGTGGGGGCGGGCAATATCTTGCTGAAATGTAAGCCCAGGGTGGCGTGACATGAAGGGCAACACAATGGGCTTAGAACTTTGTTGACGTGCTGCTGTGCTGTAAGGCTGCGAAGGATGACAACCAAAGGGGTAATACTATGAAATGAAATGGCACCCCAGACCATCACTCCTGGTTGTCGGCCTGTCTGCCGGAAGACAGTCAGGTTGGTATCACACCACTGTCCGGGGCATCTCCAGACTCGCCTTTGCTGGTCGTCGGAGCTCAGTTCAAAGTGGGACTCATCACTGAAGACTATTCTACTCCAGTCAGTGACATTCCTGTGCGAATGAGCCCGACGCCACTGCAAATGGGCTTGATGTTGTACAGAGGTCAATGGTAGTCAGTGCAAGGGGCGCCGTGACCTCAGCCCCCTTACTGTGAGCCATCCATGAATGGTTCTTGCCGTCACTGAAGCACTAGTTGCACGTACAATCGATGATAGCTCAGTCTTCACGTTCTGTCGTTTCTCTAGGCCTACTGCTTCTTTTTGACGCTGTGTGCGGCCATGGTTCACCCATTCCT